AACATAAAAATAAAAAAACAAAAAAAACAACCAAGTAAGGATATGCTCTCAAAGAAGTTGCAGTAGGGGAGTCGTGAACATAGTGCAATAGGGTAAGCTCTAGGAAAGGACGTAAAATGTGCTAGCAAGGTGAATGAAGAAGGAAACATCTGTAGGAACAAGAGTAAACATGGAAGAGCCAGGGAAGGGTAAGCCTAGGACAAGGAGAAGCTTATCTGGCAGTGAATTCAAGGGGTGGACACTATTTCAGGGTACTGGGTATGAACACTTGTTGTAGGGTCAAAGAATTAAGGGGTTTAGCAAGACACACTACATGTGTTAACAGTGGAGAGAAATGATAAAGGATGATGATGTCTATTCATGTATTTTTTACTTTTTTTTCTACAGATAATAGAGCACTGGAGGCTTGCTGTTGTTAGGTGTCACTGAATGGAGTACGACTCATAGCGACCCTATGAACAAAAGATCTGAACCCTGTTCTATCTGTGCCATCCTCACACTTCCTGACACATACCACATCAATTCACCTGGTTGATGGTCTTCCTCTCCTTCACCGATCCTCCATCCTTCCCAGCATCATGTCCCTCTCCAAGGAACAGCACCTCCTAGCAACACGTCCAAAGTATGTGAGGTGAAGTCTCATCACTCTTGCCTCCAAAGAGTATTCCAGCTGCACCCTCCTAAGACTTACCTATTTGTTCTCTTGGCCGTCCATGTTCAGTGCACTTTTCAAACACCCCACAGTTCTGGTGGCTTAGCGGTAAGGAATTGCACTGTCAACCCAAAGGCATGTGGTTTGAATCCACTAAGTGATTTATATGAGAAGGAGGGACAATCTCCTCCTGTGTGACTTACTGCTTCTAAAAACCTGCTGGAATGTCAGCTGTGGGTCCTCTCTATTTGACCACACATAACACAACAAAGGTAATGGGAAATAAATTAATGATTATGTGAGTAATGTAATTTGGTCTGTCTTTAAAGATGATCACTCTTACAATGGTTTAAAGGATTTAAGAGACTGGGAAAGTAAGAAGGGGAAAGACAATGCTTAAGAAGAGACAAGAAACAACAAAATCTTTAGGAGGTCACACAATTTGATGGGTGGGGTGGTTAGGGAAATGGGAAAACACTGGTGTGAGAAACAATGTATTCAAATTTTGTAAATAAACTAGTATTAAAAAAATAAACCAAAAAAAACCCAACCCAACAAAATAGAGAATTAGGGCTGGCCATGCACAAAGAAGCCCTGGGGGTGTACTAGATAAATGTCAAACAAAAGGTTCAAAACAATCGACACTCTAGGATATAGAGTCGGCTTCCATAAAGATTCACAGCGCTAGAACTTGTGTAGGATAGTTCTACTCTGTCCTACAGGATTGCTATGAGTTGGAACCGCTTGATGGCAGAGGGCTTGGTTTTGCCATGTGGGATGACAGTGAATTGGAAAGGACTATCCCTAGACCAAGGCTACAAAACAGAATATTTAGGATTTAATGATCAGATGTGGGAGAGGTAAGAAAGAAAGGGGATTGAGATTTAAGAACAAGAATTTTCTTTCCAAAGTCAAGCTGAAAAAATTTGTATGTCCTTAAATAATTTAGGGAGCTGTGGTGGACTGTGAGTGGAGACACACTGCTAACCCAAACATGGCACACTCTCTGGCAGTGTGAATGCACCAATGACTCAATCTCTTCCTGCGCAATTTACAACCTCTGGAAACTCACTGGAGGGTCAGCTCTGAGTCAGTCGTTGTGATTCAAAGGCAATGAGCTGAGCTGACATAAATATTTTGACATAAAAGAACATACATCTATTACTTATCTAATGGCATTTTTTTAAGCCTTTAAAAACTTTTAGAATTTATACAATCACTTACTTTGTCTAGTTTCCGAGACCGAAGTGCATGAGCTGCTCTGTGATACTGTGCCGTCAGATAAAGACACTGTGCCAACCAATAAATGTCTTGGGGTTCCTCTGCAGGAAAGATTACAATGGTCAGAGTGCAGAGTGGAAAAGAAAGATTTTTAAGATTTAGGGAAGTCAGAAAACCAAAACAAAATAGAACTTGTCACTTACCGTGGGAGAGTGAAGCTACTTTATCTGCCCAAAATAGAGCACTTTGATACTGTTGCTGTTTGAAGAGGGGGGAAAAAAATAAAAGGAAACTGCATTGTTATTTCAACAGTTTTAAACAGATCTCTATTATTATCATCATCATACCATGTAATAAACCAATATCTTTTTTTTTCACTTTTTAAAAATTAATTAATTAATTTTATTTTTTTTTACAGAGGTTTTGGATTTCCATTCATTCACTGCCGCAATTTTCTCCCTGTCCACCCCTCCCCACCAGCTCGCTTCCCCCTCCGAAGAGAGAGGAAAAAAAATTCCTTCATTAGTATACAATTCCCATGTCCCTTCCCCCCACGCCCCACCCCGAGTACACTTCTCTATGCAACCTTCATTCTGGATTCCTGTGCTAACCATAATACTCAATCATATATCACTTCTAATCTGTTCTTTCCCTCATCTGTTTCAATACAATATACATAATTTATCCAGTTTTTTCTGTCATGCCCCCACCCTGATGTCAGACCCATTCTACAACAGTGGCACCATGCAGTATTTGTCCCTTTGTGACTGAGATATTTCACTCAGCACAATGTCCTCCAGGGTCACCCACTTTGAATAATATTGCATGAGTTCCTTGTTTTTCAATGCTGCGTAGTATTCCATTGTGTGGATATACCACAGCTTCTCTATCCATTTGTTTGTTGATGGGCCCTTAGGCTGCTTCCAACTCTTTGCTATTGTAAACAAAGCTGTGATAAACATGGGTGTGCATATACCTGCTTTAAACCAATATCTTAATACTATATGTTGTACACATAGTTAAGAGTCTATCTTACATCACTACCAGGCTGAGTTTTACATCAGACATGGTACAATAAAAATATCATACTATCTTTGATACATGCAATTCATGGAGGCAGTTTTATTTTGATTGATAAACTTAAAAAATGATCCCTCATTCAAAACTAATTATCATTGAGTTAGAAATGAGTCAGAGCTGACTCTCTTGTGGGTTTTCAGAGGCTGTATATCACACAGGAGGAGATTGCAGATGTTTCTTCTGTGAAGCAACTATAGAGGTATCAAACAGGAACTAATATAAACACAATTATATTTTGCAGAATTGGGAAGGGCGTACGCCAGGGATGCATCCTATCTCCATACCTTTTCAAACTATATGCAGAACAGATTATCCGGGAGGCTGGGCTCTATGAGAAGAAATGTGGGGTCAAGATTTGTGGACAATTTATCAACAATCTGCATTATGCAGATGAAACTACCCGGCTTGCTGAAACTGAGGAGGACCTGAAGCACTTGCTGCAGAGGGTCAAGGACTGCAGCCTCCAATATGGATTGAGACTCAATGTCAAGAAGACAAAGATTCTCACCACTGGACCAATTGGCAGCATCAGGATGGATGGTGAAGAGGTTGAGATTGTTCACAGCTTTAGTTTCTTTGGCTCCACAGTCAACACTCTTGGCACCAGTAGCCAGGAAATTAAAAGGCGCATTGCCATGGGAAAGTCTGCTGTTAGGGACCTCTCCAAAGTGCTGAAGAGCAGTGGTGTCTCTCTGGAGACTAAGGTGCATCTGATACGGTCTTTGCTATCACTTGTTACACATCAGAGAGTTGGACAATGACCAAGGAGGATAGAAGGAGAATTGATGCCTTTGAGCTGTGGTGCTGGAGAAGAGTATTGAGAGTACCATAGACTGCTAGGAAAACAAACAGATTCATCCTGGAAAGGGTTAAACTGGGTGGCTTCTTGGAAGCAAGGATTCTAAGGCTCTGTCTAACATACTTTGGACATGTTGTGAGGAGAAGGACAACATGCTTGGGAGGGTGGAGGGACAGAACAGGAGGGGGAGGCCCTCTATGAGGTGGATTGATCCAGTGACTGGGCTAATCGGGATGGGAGTGTCAGAGACAGTGCGATTGGCAAAGGACAGAGCAGAGTTTAGGGCTGTTGTACACAGGGTCGCTATGAGTCGCAAGCGACTGGATGGCACATAACAACAACAATAACAATTATTAGTACTTTTTACATAATGATATTGTCCAATAAACTGTTAATTAATCCCAAACTAGAGCTTAGTAGGAAAAATATGTTAAATATCTCATAATGGATGGAGAAGAGATTAGGTTAACAATTTCAACTTGTTCGGCTCCACAATCAACACTCTTGGCACCAGCAGTCAGGAAATCAGAAGAATTGCATTGGGGAAGTCTGCTGTTAGAGACCTCTCCAGAGTGCTGAGGAGCAATGTCAGCCTGGAGACTAAGATGCACCTGATCCTAGCCATAGTCTTCATAATTATTTGCTATACATCAGAGAGCTGGATAATGACTAGGGATGATAGAATTGATGCCTTTTTAAAAAAATTAATTTCAATAAACATTTATAGAGATTTTGGATTTCCATTCAATCATTGATGCAGCACTTTTCTCCCTGCCCACCCCTTCCCCCCCATTCGTTCCTCTCTTTGAAAAGTAAAAGGAAAATTCCTTTATTGGTATACAATCCTCCTGGCCCCTGCCTTTGAGTTGTGGTGCTGGGGAAGAGTCATGAACACATGGTGGGCTGCCAGAAGAACAAATAGGTCTGTCTCGGAGAGGGTGAAACCAAGTTTCTCCTTGGAGGCTAAGATTTTGAAGCTCTGTCTCACATAATTTGGGCATGTGGCCAGGAGACACCAATCTTTGGAGAAGGACATCATGCTTGGAAGGGTGGAGGGACAGCGCAGGAGAGGAATAAACTGGGTGAGATGGATTGATACAGTAATTGGGGCAATGGGAGTTGGTGTGTCATAATTAGTGGCTCAGGACTGGGAAGGGTTCAGAGTTCTTTGAGTTGCAGGCAACTAAATGGCACATAAAAACAACAACATCTCAGGTAACACACTTCTAGCTTTTTTAATACTTTTTAATTTTTTTTTAAATTTTTGTATTTGTTGTGTGCCATCGAATCAGATCCGACTGGCACAGGAGGAGTTTGCCCCTCCTTCTCCAGCAGAGCATCTGGTGGATTTGAACTGTGCGCCTTTGAGTTTGCAGTGCAGCTTCTTGCCAGTAGGCCACCAGAGCTCCCTCACTTCTAGTTTTAAAAACAGCTTAAAAGGAGAAACTTCAATGTGAGAAAGGTGTAATCTGACCTGTACTAACTTGACAACAAGGAACTGGCCCAATCAACAATATTCACAGTATAAAACTGATCCCCAGAAGGTCAGACATGGCTCCTCACCGCTCCTGCACCTACTTCTATTAGTTAGTTGGTCTGAAATTTTCTGCAGACCATGCAGACTTTACAGAATCTCTTTTTATATACAGTTGTGGGGTTTAGTAGGGAAACAGGTGGGTGGGGGAGGCAAAGCATATTACACAGTAAAAGTCCATACTTAGTAAACTGCAGTCCCAAACCAGATTAACAGCAAGACACAATGCCTCAATTAGTTCAGCAAGCTTCTCAGTCAACAACAAAAGTTCAAGTTCAGTCCAACAACACAAATGCAAGAAGCCTCTGGTTTCCTCCATTGTCTAGCAAGCTATTCTCCTGGCAATCACAAGTTAGCTCTTCCTTCAATCGCCAGCAAGCAAAACCTTTACTCTGGCTCTGCCAGGTTATGACTCACTACCATCACTCTAGAGTCTGGTTAGCTCTCTCTCGCTTATGTTGGTCTCAAAGCAATCGATGATACAGAAAATACTGATCCATGGCAAACCATGTGCAGAAGTTGAAGCAGCAGGAGACTATACCCCCAAGGGAGCTAAGTGCAGCAAGTGGAGCCTTAAAGAGTCACTTTACTTATACATTCCCATTTGGCCATGTGGTCAGGTCAAAGGCATTGGATATAAAAGTCCTAACATTATGTTGTTGTTGTTGCTGTGTGCCGTCGAGTCGCCTGCGACTCATAGCGACCCTATGTACAACAGCCCTAAACTCCGCTCTGTCCTGTGCCAATCGCACTGTCTCT